GCTCGTTAGCTCCGAAAGGGACGTGCTGTAGACGAGCTACAGCCCGAGCTGCCGCTTCACCTCCCGGCGGCTTCAGCCCTCGCCGTTCTTCCTTGAGGAGTGAGCAGGTGAGGCCCCGCGATGCCCGGGAGGCTCCCGGCCTTTGCCACTCTGTTTGTCTGTGCTCTTAGACTCTCCTGAAGGACCCCAAGCTCTCCAGTGTTGTTATGAACCCTCACACCAAGGGCGCGGTTAAGCAGAAAGCTGTGAACGATGCCTTGGCGAAAGAGAAAATGTCCCCTATCACGGTCAACCTGATGAGTGAGTAACCGTCTGACTCCAGAGAAATACCCAAGGCTCTTTGTTACTGCTGGTTGCTACCCAAATCCGCTTCTAGCGGGTGCTTTAAACCCTTTCAACGCCTCTGCCTCCTCCAGACTTGCTTGCTGAAAACGGTCGCTTGCGTAGCACTCCGGACATTGTTTCTGCCTTTGGGAAGATCATGAGTGCGTACCGAGGAGAGGTGCTGTGCACAGTCACCACTGCGCAGGTGAGCCGGGGGCCTCTAGATCGAGCCTAGCAGGTAGCGGTGTAAAAGGAAAACTTCTTGGGCTTAATTAGTTGAAGTACTTGCTATATGAGTAGCGAGGAAATATCTCACCTCTACCAAGATGAAAGTCCTTCTGCAAACAGTTCTTTTTTAGACTATATAGACAATTACTGGTCAAAAAATAAATGCGTTACTCCCATTCCAGCTTAGCAGGTAACATCTTTCCTTCCTGTGTGTGAGCCCAGCGGCTGATAAATGTCAGCCTCGTCTGCAGATACTTCTATTCTTACTTCTGTCATCAGGATTGTACAGGTCAGGTCAGAACTAACAGATGAGCTGTTGGCTAGAGCGAGGCAGATAACCTGACAGGACTGAGAATGCCTGTGGTGCTTCCTCCTGCGCTTCATAGGGAGCCGCTACCGAATTCACCACCTGCAGTAACCAGGACAAGTGGCCGACTCCGAAGCTGTAGGGAGACTTTTGTGAAAAAGCAGCAGACGGGCAAGTCTGGCTGGTGCCCAGGGAGGTGGGAGGGAAGACGGTGTCTCCGTGAGCTGTAAGCGTCGGGCTGGAGGCACGGTGGTCCTGGTGCTTCAGTGACTTCTTCCTTAATGGGCCCATGGCCAGGTCTGTTAGAGCAGGAGGCTGGTTAGCTAGGTGTGTAGTGTAAACCTGTGGCCCTTGGGCAGGGCTGCAGTGAACTGCTGGCCTGGACTAAACGGGCTCATCCACTTCAGGTGGACTGGCTCTGTGTAGGCCATGAGCGCATGTTGTCAGTGCAGGTGGCAGCCTTCAAGGACGTGGGGACTCACAAACCTATGCAAACCTTTCCACAACTTTTCCAAAGTATTTTATACGTAAAGTTACTTTCCTGCTGCGTTTTTGCTGTTGTTGTTGGTTTCTTTGGCTCTTAATTTCTATTTAATAGCAAACAGTTTATTTAAATAGCCTTTAACACAAAGCCAGTGCTCTTCGGTGAAGTCCCTTTTGTTTCTATCTCAGATTATCTGAGCAACTTGTAGGGGAAGCAGGGACAGATTGACAGCATCCCTGCCACAGGGATGCAGCATTCTTCCGTGGCGGTGGAGAGAGGCGTCCTTAGCCAGGAGCATTCTGCGAGCCTGCAGCAGGGCTGGGAGCTCGCTGCCAGCGTCCTCAGCCCAGCGCTTTACATGAAACCATGTTTCTTCTCAAGCTGATAATTCTGATTGTTAGAAGCAGCAAAATCGATCTCTCCCTGTACAGGCTGAACACAGTGGTGAGGTAGATCTCCAGGTTTGCCATCAGGTGCTGACTTGGGCAAGTATGGATTCCTGATACGTGCTGCCTGAAGATGTCAGCGTCGAACTTTTGCCAGGAATATATGCACAAATAACCCAATGTTTCATGAAATGAGGAGGGCACAAAGTGACTGCTGTTTCTGTGCTGTCCTTGTGTTTTTCCTGTTGAAGAAGGCTGCTTAATCTGCCTTCCTGATGGAAGCGTCTGTCTTTAGAAGACTCTGAATAGAAATTCTGAGTTCTCATTGTATCATTTGAGTGTTTATAAGTGCTTCATTTTCCTTGTCTTCTGTTCGTATTTTTCAGCCCTTGGATGATGCCAGCCTTACTGAGCTAAAAAGTGCTCTGAGTGGATTCTTGGCTAAGGGAGAGGTTTTAAAGCTGGAGACCAAGGTCTGGATTTTTGATTTGTAAATAAATTTCATTGAGTTCATGTTAAACCGGGCTTCTGTCTCTCTGATCTTTAAAAAAAAATCGCTTTACTGAATCCAGTTGCTATATTACATAGTTCTGTGCATTCTTGTAGCTCTCCTGATGTTTAATTACTAAAATCTTAACTTTGGAATACAGTGACTGCAAAGTTATCTTGAAAAACGCTCTTTTAAAAGCTTTATTTTCCTTTTTTACTAGCGCAAAAATTTTATACTAGGCTGACGTTTTTGCTAATAGAATTTCTGTTTAACATTTCTTCTTCAGACTGATCCGTCAATCCTCGGTGGCATGATTGTCAATATTGGGGAGAAGTACGTGGACATGTCGACAAGGTCAAAGATCCAGAAGCTCACCAAAATCATGAGAGAGGCTGTCTAGCAAGCTGTCCGAGTCATCACTCACAGTGAAACCTGGCAGGTGGAAACAATAAAATTATTTCTTCCAGAATAGATGGTGTGAAGTATTTTGATTTGGTAACACAGCACTGAGGGAGAAAAGCAATGACGCTGCAGGGAGTGTCACTTAGCTCCGAACTGAACATTTCACGACACAGCTTGAAAATGGAGCTCGCCGCGGATGCGGGTGACGGTTGCTGTGAAGGGAAGGGAGAATAGTGCTCTGGGAGCTGGTGAGCGGGGTCACTGCTGCTGGGGTTCTGCCCATCGACGGAGAAGACTTTCCGTCTAGGTGTTGTCAGGGTGGTGGTGCCGCAGCCCCATGGCCGCACGTGCTGTTTCTGCGCATGGAAGCTGTGAACGCTGCAGCTGCTGCTGGTGGATCCTTCCAGAAACACAGCGGTCGCGTTTGAATGTCATGTCATTGTGCGTTCTCAGCAGCAAACGCTGGGTTGGGCCCAGTTTACTTCCGTGTCTGTTGGAGAGAGTTTTGGATATGCCTTAAATTAAAATTACCCTCTGGAAGCTTGCTAGCGTGAGGCTGAGGTGTCCGTAACGTAAAATGGCGCCAAGCCGTTTGGAGCGTGCCTGACGGCCAGCAAGCGCCGTGGCGGGGTTGGCATGGCGGGCCGGGAATGGGATCGCTACCCCTGGCAGAACGAAGGGCTCGGGCTCACTGTGGGAGCAGCAGCGTGGGCTGGTGCTGGGGAAGGGGATGGAGCGCTGGAGCCTGAGGGCTTGGGAGCCCGCGAGCCCGCGGGGCAGGGCAGAAGGGCTGCTGGAGGCTGAGCAGCGGCCATGGCTGACAAACCGGACAAAAGATACGTCCTCGCCGTGTGGGTGTAGAGCTGGGGAAAGGACCCTGCTGCTCAACGGCACAGCGAGGGTACCGCTCTCAGGGCAGCTGCCTGCGCATGGTAATTATTAACAAAAATCAGGGGAGAGGCCAGCGTGGGGCTTCCCATGTGCTGGGGCAGCTGGGAAGCTGCGTAAAGGTTCCCAGTGGCGTGCCCGGCCGCGGAGCGGGACCTGGGCGGCGCAGTGACGCGCACAAAGTAACGGCGCCAGGCATGTTGAGCAACTCCCTTTGGGTGGGTTTTTTTAACTGTTATTTTTGATAATTTATCTTTGCTGTCTTACCACCAATTCTGTTAACTCTCAGTTTTCAAATCTGAAAAGAACGCAGACAACGCGTCGCAGAAATGAGAAGTGGCGTGGGTCAGGCATTAAATGCTGGCAAGTTATTTCCCTGCCACTGGGTCTGTCTTGGCAATTTTTTCCCCTGCCACTGGGCCTGTCGCTTTGCTTAATATCTCTCTAGTCCTTTTGTCAACAATACCAGCCTGAAGGTTTATTTGATATGTCTGACACCGTATCGCTTCTTCAGTGCTTCTCAAGAATGTAACGGTATGCAGTTCAAAAAAAAAAGAAAGGGTTTATTCTTGCATAATTATTTCACTTGCACAGCTACAGTCTCATCTGCGTCAAACAAATCGCGCAGCCTAAAACCTTACGGGCAGGTTCCGCCTCGGTGACTGCAGTCTGGGAAGCGGCGTAGTTCCTCAAACAGGTCAACACATTTTAAGGACTTTTGCTCATTTGGACGTTGTCTGTAAATAGAATTATTTAACCAAGTGTGGCTGGGGAAACTACACACTGTGATCGCCCCAAGTACAGTTGAAATTGTCTCATGAGAAACAGGGGTGCCTGATTCATAATTATGCACTATATTGATTACAAATGCTTTAAAAAAATAAAAGAAACCAGCTTCACAGTATGAACACTTTACTGTAGAATAGTTAGATGTGATGTAAATGAACAATACAAATTAATTCCATTTTCTCTGAAAAAAGAAAAGTATCTTTTTCTCCTATTTGGCCAGATCTTAAGACATACACATAGCAGTTATTTTATAATGCCTTTGTAATTTTTTTAGGATCTTACGAATACAACAGACAGTACAATACTTCCTTTTTTAAGGGGGAAAAAAAGGAAACTAATTGATACGATCTGTTTGGCAGCAAAAAAGTGCACCAAGAAGTAACACCACCACCACCAGGGAGGGGGATTCCCCAATTCTAAGTATTAATGTTGGAAAAAATACTATGTCTATCTTTTTTTTCAACACTTCACCAACACGAAGTAGAAAGTACCCATCACACAGCCTGGAAAGGCTGCCGGAATCTAAATTCCTTTTCAGCAACTTGAGGACTGGACCAGGGTAATTCCGCACAAGCTGTTAATGAAGCCGAAACCTTCTGGGACAACCTGCCCCACAGGGGCCTGACAGCCATGGTGGGATGGGGCAAAAGGGGGTGAGCGGGGAGCAGCAAGCTGGCCAAGTGCCCAGAGCAGCTCTGCAGCCCCACATCCGACCTCCCCTCTTCCTCCTCGCAGGAGCAGTTTATGTCACAGAGAAACCACCGCAGCTGGCAGGGCTCTCCCTTCCAACCCACCGCCCCACCAACACCCACACACCTTTTTTTTGGGGGGGGAGGGTAGAGATCCTGCTGTTGCTGCTGCTCACCCGCCTCTTACACTTTAGGTCTGCTGCTGTTTGTCCGCTTTTCCTCCTGCTCCCCAGCCTTCCCCTTCCCCCATGCCCAGGAGCTGCTGCCGGGGGTCTGACAGGGCTCTCGGGCGAAGAACCAGGCGCAGTGAGGTCCCAGAAACGGCTGCTGGCTCCAGGGCTCGTGACACTCCTTGTGGCTCTACAAGTAGCACCAGGAACTCGCCTCCAGTCGCAGCAGAGCCCTTGACAACGCCATCAAACACCTAGGCTAGTTTAACACGGGCTTAGTGCAGTTCTTTGCACTTTTAAATTAGGTCCTAAATATATCCTCCTACGTACATAAAAATAATTTCCCAGGGACGGTCCTTATTTTGAAATATTTAAATGAACAAACAAAACTGGGTGCCTATAAATGCTTTTCTGTTAGAGTTACTCAGTATTTGACAACGACAACATAGCCATGTTTTTATATTATATATACAAATAATCACATATATATATAAAAGCATGTATTTAACTATAGATACATTGATATGCACGTTAGGACAAGGGTGTTGGGGCTAAACAAACACAAGGATACATGTGGAATGTACATACAGAGCAAACCCCTCAAAGCTAAGCTGATTTAACCTGATTCCCAGCTTTTCTGTGTTCCAAGGGTTTTGACTGCTGGATTTGAATAAACTGAAATATCCCAGTGGCAAGCAGAGCAGTATGAAACTAGACACCACTGTTGCAGTAAAAGTCTGGACTTGTTACATCCTAGTTTTGAAAACATATTTAATAATATTACAAAAACTGCATTATCCACAACGTTCCCCCCCCACCCCTACTCCCATGCAACAAAAAGTGATTTATTTCTTTTTAAAGGGTAAAAAAATTGTAAAATTAACACTTAAAAAGTTCCCTCGTAAAAACTCATATTGAGAAAATATATAATAATTAACTGCATCTAGAAAAAAGTTCTGTAATTCATCAATCATTTGCCTTCGTGTCAGCTCAGCAACATGCTCCAGCTTTCAAGGTGCCCAAGCCAACTCACCGGCTGCGTGCAGCCTCGCAGGGCTTTACCGGCTGGCTTCCTACCAGCGCTACACTTGGCAAGGTACTTGGTGTTTCCGAGGCCAAGGTCAGCCTCGTGGTTTTTTATTCTACAGTGCTTCCAAATGTGTTGCTATCTGTAAGTATACGCATTACGATTTGCCCAGTAAATACAATTCTGGTGAGTTTAGTGGCTAGGACCATCTTCGGGAAGGCAAGCAAGAAAACAGATCCAGCTGCAAAGAGTACAAACTACTTCTGTATTTTATCTTCACTGTGGCTTTTTGTCGGATGCTTTATTGCAGGCTTCCGATCGTTGCAGAGCTTGAACCAGCTTCGCAATGTAGGCTCTACATTACCAAAGCCTTTCAAGCTCCTCCACGCGTCCCCAGCAAAGCACTTGGGCACCCAGCTGGATTTCCATACGCCTTTGCACTGAACTGGGGCAGGAATTAAAGTTAATCGTCTGCTGGAGTGCTTCGTTGAGCCGGGGGCTGCAGCAGAGGTGGCAGCTGCCAGATGAGCCGGGAGGGAGAAGCCTGGAAAGGAGTCCCTGAAACAGCACTGCAGCTTGGCGAGTTGGGGTTGAAGGGACAGAAAGAGCAATGCCTTCCAAAGAACTTCATTAATTACGGGACACTTTACTCACAGGACGTATACAGAAGAAAAGCCCAGCGGGACCACAATGGAGCAAGGCAGCAAGACGGGCGAGATGCCTTTTCCAGTCACCCGCCACGTTCCTCCATGCAGCGCAGCCGGTGTTCGGCTCGGCGGGGGGCAGCGCGCTCGGCAAGGGGTTTTTTTTCTGCCCCGGACGCAACCACTTCCAGCTACATCTGACCAAGCACAGAGGAAAACGAGCTCGGGTGGTTTCTCCGAGAGGCATCTCCAAAGGGCTGACTCCCATCCACAGCGAGAAAATGCTCTCGAGGCCGATGGACAAGACCAGGCTGATTCTGACTGCGGCCAGAGCAGTGACGGAGAGGTCCTAAATGGGGAGAGATACGGGTGAGAGGACGGGCGTCCACCCTGCCCATGCGTAGTGGCATCGCTGGCAAACACCTCGCACGACTGCGGGCTGGGGGAACGAGTCCTTGAGACAGAGAACGGGCAGGCTGCTGCCGGTGCAGCCGGTTCCCCCTGCACCTCCTGGGCCATCACCGCAGCCGCCCGGCGGGCACCAGGGAAGCCAAGGGCCTGGCAGCACATGTATCAGCCTACAAAGTCCTTGTGAAAGCATCTTGAAACAACGCAGTGCCTGAGCACCTCGGAGGCGTATCTCAGCAGGTAATTCCTGGAAAGGCTGAGCGTAAGAGCTGTGAAAAAACACCGAAAATCTCCACCTCTACAAAAAGGCGCATCCAAACCCCTGCATAAACACAAAGCTGCACTAAATCCAGTGTGGTTCTCCCTGAAGACAAACACACAGTTTGTTATTAATCACTGTTATTATTATTATTATTACTGTTATTATGGATGTTTCGGGTCCTGGATAGATG